GTGAGAGAGAGAGAGAGAGAGAGAGAGTGTGTGTGTGTGTGTGTGTGTGTGTGTGTGTGTGTGAGCTCTGAGCTGCTCTGTGTGTGTGTGTGAGCTCTGGGTTGCTGTGTGTGTGTGTGCGAGACAGAGAGCGCTCTGGGCTGGTGTGTGTGTTTGTCTGTGTGAGAGCTCTGGGCTGCTGTGTGCGTGTGTGTGCGTGTGTGGCTGATGGAGCAGGCCGGGAGGGGGAGCAGCACACGCAGTCAGGGGCTGAATCCCCGCATCCTCTCCTCATTGCTGTCACAGCAGGAGAAGCCGCGGGACCGGGAGCCAGAGCCCGCTGTGGGGCAGTGCGAGCGGGATCGGCGCATCTTCCTCCAGCTGCAGTGAGGTGAGGACAGCGGGACTGGGCAGCCGCCCAGCTGCAGCAGAGCGGGTGGGCGGGGGGGCTGAGAGAGGGGCATCTCCATCCATTTGCAGTGGGGCAGAGCAGAGGGAGGGGCACCCCCAGCAATCTGCAGAGGGTAGGGACCGGGGCAATTCCAGGCAATGCCGTGGGTAGGGACCGGGGCATCTCCAAGCGGCACAATGGGGTAGCGACTGGGGCATCTCCAGACAGAGCCGTGGGTAGGAACCGGGGCATCTCCAGGCGGGGCTGTGGGGTAGGGAGGGACCAGGACATCTCCAGGCGGTGCCTAGGTAGTTAGGGACAGGGGCATCTCCAGGCGGGGCAGTGGGGTAGGGACCAGGACATCTCCAGGCGGTGCCTAGGGTGTTAGGGATCGGGGCCATTCCAGGCGGTGCAGTGGGGTAGGGAGGGACTGGGATATCTCCAGGCGGTGCCTAGGGTGTTAGGGACCGGGACATCTCCAGGCGGGGCAGTGGGGTAGGGATCGGGGCCATTCCAGGCGGGGCTGTGGGGTAGGGCGGGACCAGGACATCTCCAGGCGGTGCCTAGGGAGTTAGGGACCGGGACATCTCCAGGCGGTGCAGTGGGGTAGGGAGGGATCGGGGCCATTCCAGGCGGTGCAGTGGGGTAGGGACCGGGACATTTCCAGGCGGGGCAGTGGGGTAGGGACCGGGACATCTCCAGGCGGGGCTGTGGGGTAGGGATCGGGGCCATTCCAGGCGGGGCAGTGGGGTAGGGACCGGGGCATCTCCCGGAGGCGGTGGGCGGAACAGTGGCTCAGGGAGGAGCAGCGGGGTCGGGGCACCTCGCGGTGGGCTCGGAGGAAAGCCCCTTCCCCGAGCCGGGGGAAGGCAGCGATTGCCGCACAGGGACCGGTCCCGCTGCCTCTCCAGCCTCTTACCCCACCCCCACCCCCGCTCCCTCCTGCAGAGCCGCGATGCTGCCCTGGCGCAGGAACAAATTCGTGCTGGTGGAAGACGAGCGCCAAGGCAAAGGCAAGACCCTGGGCCCGGGGCTGAGCTACGCCTCCCTGCTCTCCAGCTTCGTGCGCTCCTGCCCGGACCTGCTGCCCGAGTGCCCGCTGGAGCGGCTGGGCAGCGTGTTCCGCAGCCGGCGGCACAAGGTGGAGCTGAACCAGGAGGACCCCACCTACACGGCCTGGTACCTGGGCAACGCGGTCACGCTGCAGGCCAAGGGCGAGGGCTGCACGGACGAGGCGGTGGGCAAGATCTGGGCCAAGAGCGACGGCGGGGCCAGCGGCACCAAGGTGAAGCTGACGCTGGGGGCGCACGGCATCCGCATGGCCCCCTGCGAGAAGCGGGGCGGCGGCGGGCGGCGGCCGGGCCATGCCTACCTGCTGCGCCGCATCACCTACTGCGCGGCGGACGGCCGCCACCCCAAGCTCTTCGCCTGGGTCTACCGGCACCAGGTGAAGAACAAGGCCGTGGTGCTGCGCTGCCACGCCGCGCTGCTCTCCAAGGCGGAGAAGGCGCGGGCCGTGGCGCGGCTGCTCTACCAGACGGCCAGCGCCGCCTTCAGCGACTTCAAGCGCCTGCAGAGACAGAACGACGCCCGGCGCCTCCAGCGCCAGCGCCTGGGCGACTCCATCGTCCCGCTGGTGCCCATCCGCAAGCTGCTCAACGGGCAGTGCCCCTACCGGCCCCCCGCCGACCGCAGCCGCGGCGCCCGCCGGCTCAGCTCCATCCTGGAGGAGGAGGAGGAGGAGAACCTGGGCACCGCCCGCCACCACGCGCCCTCGGGCCGCCTCAGCCCGGCCACCGGCTGCAACCATCCCGCTCCGGCCCCCCAGCGCCGGGAGCGGGCCGAGGTGCTGACTTTAGCCCGGGAGATGAGGGGCTGGAGCCTCCAGAGCCCACCGCCCTGGAAGCCCGCCCAAGAGAGGCCCTGCTTGTCGGGCTGCTGAAGTCAGCAGGCTAGAGACCGCCCAGCTGCCTTCCCAGAAGGGCCCGCCTGCCTGGGGTGAGGATGGGCAGAATGAGTCTGGAAATGCCACCCGCTGCTGTGCCCCGGCCCGTGTTCCCCTCGCTGCTGCCTAGGGTGACCAGACAGCAAGTGTGAAAAATCAGGACAAGGGGTGGTCGGGTAATAGGAGCCTATATAAGAAAAAGCCCCAAATATCGGGACTGTCCCTATAAAATTGGGACATCTGGTCACCCTACTGCTGCCTTTGCAGCCTGAGGAGAGGCAGACAACAGTCATCAGGCCCTGCGGACTGGCAGGGCTCACACACAGACCGACTGACCTGCCCAGCCTGCAGTTAACATCCTTCACTGCCCTCTGAGTACAGGCACCAGCTCCGGTGTGGCCCTTTCACCTGAGCGGCCATTGAAATGATCTAGACCGGTTGGTGCATATCTCCATCTCTTCCACACACACCTCCCCGCCCCTCCACACACACACAGACACTTGCTAACCAGCTCAGAGACAGACTGCACTGACTCTAATGACTGGCATTAGAGCCATGGACAGGCACCTGCTAAACTGAGACATACCCGCAAGGTCTGGAAGGGTGAAGGGCTCCCTGAATGGGCAGCTGCCACAGGGAGCAACTCTTGTGTGTATTTTGTACTTCCAGTGATTTCAAGGAAAGAGAGAGAGAGACACACACACACAAACCGGGGGTGTGGGATGATATTTCCATTTCAGCCGAGGGAAGGAGAAGCTGGTTCAGCTGAAGTGACTTTTACTACTTGATCTAAACTAAAATTTATATGTTAAAAAAAAGCCATCTATTTACAGAGAGATGCCCTTAGATTTCACTTCTATTACAACGTGCAATTTTTCTGTACAGTTTTGTACATGTCACATAGGACAGGTGCCTGTATGTGTCTGACACTGGGGAGGGGATGTGGCTTGGGATGGGTTGTACAGCACGGTGGGGCTGAGGGGCTGGTTTTCCAAGGTGCTGGGCCCCCATAGCTCTCCAGAAGGGGTTGTGTGGGCGCTCCAGAGCTCTGCAAATCAGGCCACAGTTACATGGCTAAAGAGAAGTGTCTACATTCATATTTAGGCACCTAAATAAGCATCCTTATTTTCAGAGGTGCTGAGCACCTGTTGTCTTTGGTGGGATTTGAAGAAGTTCAGCACCTCTGAAAATCAGCCCTCTTTGAGTTAAGTAGCTAACGGTGGGTTTAGCTGTCTACAATTTGGCACCCAAGTTTAAATTTGGCCCTGGGGTTGCCTAGCTGTGCAGAGCCGCCCAGAGGATACAGGGGGCCTGGGGCAAAGCAATTTTGGGGGGCCCTTCTATAAAAAAAGTTGCAATATCATAGACTACTATATTCTTGTGAGGCCCGGGGCCTGGGGCAAATTGCCCCACTTGCCCCCCCCCTCGGGCAGCCCTTTAGCTGTGTCTTAAGGAGATGGGCTCTAGAACACCCAGAAGTCAAATTCTTCATCTTGCTTTGGCTTCAATGGGGTTACATCGCGGACAGATTTGACCCACATGTGTCTGACTCTGGGGATGAGATGCAGAGCATCACACACAGAGAGAAGCTTTCTTCTGACACAGAACATGGGGTGTTTTAACCCCAGGAGAAGATGGTCAGCTGCACGTCTCGTTTGTATGTTCACAATGCAAAGCCCAACGGCATGTGTGTGTGCGTGCGTACACACACACACACACACACACGCATATCATGTGGTAATTGTAATAAAGATTCTCTGCGTTTTCTGCAATATGATTACTGTGCTGTATCTTTTGTAAACATTTTGCTGCCATTGTATCTTAAGAGCAGTAATACCAGAACGCAAACTGGCTCAGCACTGGGTGAGGGATCGGGCTTCTATCTATCGATCTAGCTGAGAGTTTTATACTGCTGCCTTTCACAGGAGTATCTGAGTGCCTTCCTGGAAAAATTAATAGCGGTATCACCGTTCCTAGTGGTCTTCATGGAGACGCTGACACCTCTCCCTTTATGGGGGCCAGTCTAGGCTCTAGACCAGGAGGGCCATTTGGCTAGATTATGTACCAAGCCCTGATTATAAATGAGGGATTTTACTGCTCTGTTGTGATGGTGATGATGGTGGTGATGATGTTTGTGTGGGTGTGTACGTGGGCGAAGATTTGTTTGCTAAAAGGGGTTTGTGTTTGATTATTTGTGTGCACGCGCATATGAATCTGTGTGATTGTGTCTCTCGGTGTATGCCTATGCATGTATCTTTTCCAAATGTGGACTCACACTTTGTGTGCGTGTGCATTTCATGTGTCTGCCATGGGTACATGTAGGAATATAGATATACGTTTGGCTTCAAACCGGGGAGCGGTAGCAGGATGCCCAAAGCCCACATGCTGACGTTCAAATTAGCATGTACCACCAGTAAGTTACCTTCAAGTGCATAAATACCTCCTCTAAGTGCCAATTTCAGTGACCAAATGTGGGATGTGGGTGTCCCATTCAGGCACTGGTTTGACAACAGAGCCTGATATTTCTCTGTGTGCTGTAGGCCGGGTAGGTTGTAGACATGAAAGCATCTCACCCTTTTTGTGTGACGCTCTCTGGAGATCAGTCCCTAGCAACCAATTATCAGAAAAGAGAGAAACTCTGGAATGATTCTGTGCCCTAACATGGAGGAACATCCCGGAGTGTATTGCAGGAGGAGGAGAAACGGGGCTGGGGTAAGTAGTTTTGCAAGCAGACAGCTGCATTATTCCCTTTCATCTTCCCCGGGGCTGCCACCCCCACACTCCCGCAGCATTTATCTCTGCTCTTGGGAGGAACAAACAGCTCCTGAAAAAACAAAACCGTAGAAAAGTCGCGACATGCTTTTAAAAATCCACATTCCCTCCCGACGGCAACGGAAGCTCTAGAAATGATGTCAAATAAACAGCCGCTTCCAGTGGCCATGGCAACCGGCATTTTTAAAATCATGAGGCCAAATGCCTCCGTGGCATAACTCCACCCCCTGCGAGGAGCTTCCACCAGGGAGGGACTGGTCCCATTTAAGCTAAGAAGATTGTTTTCCTCTTTCCCTTTATTCCCTCTGCCTTTGAGGCATGTGGGTTTTATTAAAAGCTTATTTGCTTTGTGTTGAGTGACGGGGCTGAGAATCAGATGTTAGCCTTTGACTGGGATTCAGACGCACATCCCCAAAGCAGGGGCAAGGACTGGGGGACATTATTATTCCTCTAGTGCTGATGACTTGCCCTTCGCTGTTGTTGAATACACAGAAAAAGACCCATTGCTGCCCCAAAGAGCTTACAAGGTGGATGTGTGGCCAAAGTCCAGCCCGAGGTGTACTGGCATCCTAAGAACTTGGGGAGAGGGGCTAACCCACCAGTTAAGCAGCCCCTCGTCCCATTTTTATCCCGGCCCGTTGGTATTGAGAACTGGTTTATTGGCCAGCTGGTCTCTCCACCTGACCTAAACATACTGGGATGGGCAGGGCTGTATTCTTGGGGAGTTGGACGCGGGAGGCGGGGGGAATCTGGCTGCATCGCTCCAAGGGGGCCCATTCCAAGTAGCAACCAACAGGCCTGTCTTTTTCTGCCAGACAGGGACAGACAGCTCTCCTGTATTCTCAGCATTGGGTCTAGGCTGAGGCAGGAGAGGAGAGGATGGAAAGTAACTGAAAGCGGAATCCTTGCAAAATCCCCAGCTCTGTGTGGCCGGTATCTTGAACTCAGTATGAAAGTAGCATAGTCCCCACTCCCACCCAATTCAAGACTTACAGACCCTTCCTCTGTTGTGGGCAGTGTTGTTGCAGTCGTGGGTGGGTCCCAGGATATTAGAGAGACAAGGTGGGGGAGGTCATATCTTTTATTGGACCAACTTCTGTTGGTGTCAGAGATGCGCTTTCGAGCTACACAGAGCTCTTCTTGAGGTCTGGGAAAGGTACTCAGAGCATCCTTAGGCTAAACAATCTATTCCACCTTGCTGAGCTGTGACACTCGGCGAACCTCCCCAGACCTGATGAAGAGCTCTGCGTGGCTCAAAAGCTTGGCTCTCTCACCAACAGAAGGTGGTCTAGTAAGAGATATTACCTCACCCACCTTGTTTCTCTGAGACCCCTCCTCTCACAGAGAGGAGAAGCATTCTCAGCTGGCTGACTATCCTGTCTGCGCCTAGCTTGGCCCTGTGTGTGGGCCTGGCCTGACCAGAGGTGGAAGGTGTTTAGCTCCCAACTAGACACAACAGGAACATGGAAGGTACATGTTTAACTTGTAACCCTTTCCTTGGTGCAGACACCTAAGGCCATTACCTCATCACATGCTTGTGTCTAGCAAAAGGGATCTTAACTCTTTAGAATGCTTCCTGATTTCCAGGTGGGTGACACCTGACCAGGGGGTGCATGTCTTGGGGGCAGTGGGGGCAGGTAGAAGGCTGGGAAGTGGGTCAGGCTGCTCAACAGGGGGCTAGGAGGCTCTGGATTTGGAAGGGAAGTGTGGTCTTGCTTTGAGGAGGGGCATTTGGTGACAGGTTAGACAGCTGATGCAGAGTCAGGGCACCTCTCTGGATAAGTGATCCCTCTGGCAGCTGGGAGGAGAGAACCTGGGTGGATGTCCAGGAGTTTAGAAAGAGGGTTATGGCAGCTGGGTAGAAGATCAAGGACCTCATTACAGGAAGGATTTGGCAGTTTGTTGCCAGGAGGTGCGGGTGGGGGATCATGGTGGGGTCCAGCAGCTGCATGAACTTACAGATGAATTTGCAGACTCATCCCCAAGGTCAAGAGTCCTTTAAAAGTGGAAACTTTGCTAGGGCTAAAGCAGCCCTGATCGCTGCACGTGGCTTAGAAATCACACTCCAGCTCTCACCTCCTAGAGATTTAATCAGCTCTAGCAAGTCAGTGCAGCAACCATGGCCAGCGTCAGTCAGACAGGAACACACCCCTGAAGGAAGAGAAGCAACCAGAGGCAAAGGAGAACTCGGGGATACGTTGCTTGAAAACATTCTCCCTGGTGGACTCAGCGCTCCCATTAGTAGATTGCTGCTTGTCCCTGGAGAGCTTAGAAGAATCTCATGTGCCATAGAACTTCAACTGCTTTGACTTGTCAGAGATGTGGCCGTGGGGTGTGATCCTGACACATCTTATAAGCTAAGCACGGTTAGCTAGACCAGAACTAGGATAGGAGACCTGCAAGGGCCACCTCGCTGTTTTAAGAGTGGGGCTGGTGACTAATGAAGTGCCACTTTTCCGTCTGGGCTGCTTTTGCAACTGACATCCCATTGTGGTGTTAGGGGCTGCTGTCCTGCTGGAGGTATCTATCGAGGTGATGTTAACCTGAGGTTCAGACCAAATGAATACTGCAGGCAGAGAGCAGCTGTATGGTCCAGGTACAGCTGGGCAGAATGGCATTCCATTCATTACTGCTGTATTGGCATTTCTGTGAGCACAAATGTGATCTTCACAGGTAATGGCCAGTGAGATGAAGGATGAGCAGTGAAAGGGTTAAAGGTGTGCTTGGGGGATCCCACTCTAGACAGCGTTGACCCCCAGTGGTTTCTGAGTGGGCCAGTCCAGAGGGAGCGCAAGTGGATGGAAAGCAGCAGCCCTCAGGCGGGCTGCTCCCCACGGTTTAGCCCAGTGGAGGAAGGTCCTTGTGCTGTCACAACAAGAACATGCTTCACGTGAGTGAAAATCCAAGCGTGGCTTGTTTTGTGGCAGTGCTTGGCCCAGCCCTTGTCTCAGCTGTGGGGCCGTTGCTGGCATGAGCCACGGGTCCCCTGGATGAGAGCGTAACTCTGTTCATGCTGATCTCTCTCCAGCTGGCAGGGATATGTGCAGTTTGTGTCAGCTCATGCTCTTTCTGCCTTCTGGCTGTAGAATGAACTCACCCAGGGACACTGGCGCCTGTCTCCAGGGGGATCAGAAAGAAAAAGGCTTGATGAGTGGCCATTCTCAGCTCTCCGTAAGCTGTGATGCTGATTCTATTGGCCAAGCAGAGTGAGGTCTCACACACAACTCAGTGGCATTTCTGTCTGTCTGTCAGCACCACATCTGATTTATTTCAAAATGTCAGTGAATGTTCTAGGTATCATTGGCCACGGAAGACACACAGGGCCCTTATATCTGGTTAGCAGGCCCAGGGGCTTTAACCAGGTCTGTAATTGCCTACATATCAAAGAACTGGTTGATGGCAGCCATGAACACCTTTCAGCACACCACCACCCCCCATTGTCTCAATACGGTTTATACATGTCGATACCCTATGACTTCTCTCCCAGACAGAAAGAAATGAGTGGGGGGGGGAAGGAGGCAATGGAGAGGTGATGGCCAGAGAGGGGGTGCACACAGAGCCTCTGGCAGGGGGAGAATGCAGGGTCCTGGCATGTGGGGAAAAGGAGGAATGGGGTCCACATAGAACCCCTGAGCGAGAGGTGGGGTTGCAGGGAATCTGTGAACTAGAGAGGGATGGGAGGGTGGCATATAGGGAGCTCGTGCGGTGTATCAGAGCGATGCCCTAGTTTTTATAGCCGGGGGACAGCTGACAGCACAGGGCTTCATCCACCGAGACATCCTTTCCTGAGCTCAGAAGGGCATTTAGACCAATGGATTCAGCCCGGTTTAGGCTCCCATAAACCTCCTCTTCTCTTCTGCCTTTCTCCTCCATCTTTCCTTTCTTTCTCTTCCCACTCCTCCTGCTTCCCCTTGCTTTTCCTACCTCCCCCCGCCCAATGTGGAGCTTTCTTTAAAGTGCAACACTCATCTCTCATTAAAGCTGCAGCTCCCGGATGGAA